ACACTGTCCAACTCTTATTTCCAGCTCATGCCTTGTCTCCCTCATGGCATGAGAGGATGCTCGTCTTACATCCTTCATGATGAGATTCTCCCCACCGTTTCTCCCAGGTGCACCTTGAGCCCTGGGCTTGATGAATATTGGCAGTGGTCTTTCGGTCTTGTGGGAAGAAGAAGCCAATAGGAATCTATACAGAATCTCCAGCTCTTGTCCTCAGCTCTTGCTGTGTCTCCCTTGTAGTATCACAACAGAATGCTCCTCTTCCACACCTCATGTTCTGCTTCACCCTTCCCTCTCTCATAGGTGCACCTCTATCCCTGCAACATGTCCTGCTACAACACCTGCCTGCCTTGCCGGCCTTGTGGCCCAACCCCGCTGGCCAACAGCTGCAATGAGCCCTGTGTCCAGCAGTGCCAGGACTCCAGAGTCGTCATCCAGCCCTCCCCCGTGGTGGTGACCCTGCCCGGACCCATCCTCAGCTCCTTCCCACAGAACACCGCTGTGGGCAACTCCACCTCTGCTGCCGTTGGCAGCATCCTCAGCTCCGAGGGAGTCTCCGAGGGAGTGCCCATCAACGCTGGGGGCTTCGGCTTCTCTGGCATCAGCGGCCTCAACTGCGGCAGGAGGTGCCTTCCCTGCTAGAGCTGCTGGACATGGCCCTAGGGAAGGTCCCCAGGGGCCCACATGATAGTACAGGGTTGGGAATAGAGCATCTTCTTGTTGCTTTCGGAGAGGTCCTGAGAAATCCCATCACCTCTTGCAATGGTGTTGGGCCAACCTGGGCTATCTGAAAGCACAGCTCATGCCTGCTTTTCCCTTCTTCCAGTCTCTTCTTTAGCTGTTGTGTTCTTGTTCTCCTGTGCTCCCCTGAGCTGTGAGCCCCACCAAGCTAGCCCAGGGGGAACATGTTGGCCCTTCTCCCTCTGTGGGGCAGGCACATGGACACCTGGTGAGAACTCTATATCAATCATCAGGCACAACTCCTTTCTGCCCCAGTGCTTCCTGCACTCAGATCAACCTCATTTATGTCTTTTGCCTCATTAAAATTTTTCTGCATCCTAGCTCACGCCTCTGTGTCATCCTTCCACCTGCAGATGTTCTTCCAAGATACCCAGGGTAACTCATGTTGTTCAGGAGATGGGTGGTGGTTGTCCAGGAGGTAATGGTTTGAGATGTTTTTGCAACAGCCATTAACAGAGGGTGCTTGGAGTAAGCTCACCCTCTGTCAAACTGAATCCACATGTTCAAGATCTTTCTTGCATTACATGTTTCTCATTCTACTTGCCATCAGGTGATTGCCTGTAGTTTGAACCACACAATCACTCGCTCATTGCTGTCCCCTCCTTTTTGGAAGAAGGAGGAGAAAATTCAACTACAGGGTTTAAGGACTGAGATTAAGGACAAAGAAGGTTCACTCACCACTCACGGTCAAAGGCAAACAACAGAGTAGACTTGGGGAGAGAAAAACCATAAACTCAATTGACCACCACCAGTTTAACCAAATCAATTAGATCAAAGTAGGATAGTGAGAGAAATAAATGCAACCAGATATTAAATGCACTTCCCCTCCACGCCTCCCTTCTTCTTGGCTGCCTCCTCTCCCCCACCTGCTCAGGGGGAAAGAGACAGGGGTTTGGGAGTTGTGGTCTGTCCATTACGCATTGTCCGTGTCACTTCTTCCTCCTCAAGGAGAGGGCTTCTCACAGACTTCCTCTGATGTCATGTAGTGTCCCTCTCATGGGAGACAGTCCTCCTTGAACCCCTCTAACATGTGTCCTTCCCACCAGTGTGGGTCCCTCCTGTGGGCAGTGGTGAACCTACTCCAGCATGGGCTTTTCTTGGAGTTCCAGCATGCTTTGGGCATGTCCTCTGCAACTCTGCTCCGGCATTATCCTCTGCCCTAGGGTGGGGCCCACCACAGGCTGCATCCTGGACATATCGAGCTGCTGATCTCTTCAATCAACAGGGCCTCAGTCTACCATCTCACCACAGGCCCAGGGGAGAAGCTCTGCTCTGGTTCCCCCCTCACACCCATTCCTCACTGACCTTGGTGACTTCATTATAGATCTGCTCTCCTCCTACACCTCCCCCTAAAAAATAAAAAACCTCAGAACAAATGGAAAAAGAGGATGGCACAACAGATTTCCCCTCTTAAATATACTGATTTACAGAGGCACTGACAGGCCTGGCCTTGAGCAAAGCCAGGTCCAAATTGTGCCTGGACTAGAGGGAGGCTCTGAAAGTTTGGCAAGGAGCCAACCCCATAGCCCTCCTCCTGCTGCCAAAGAAACCCACCAGACCCGAGCCCATCACCCTGCCAGGCAGTATGGGATAGTCGCTACCCTCTATCTCCTAGCTCAGGTCCTGCTCATACAGCCCTGGATGACAGTCCTTGGTTCTGGGAACAGTGCTGGGACTTGCACCTGTCCTCATGGTGTTATTGCAGAAGAGCCTTTCCCTGGCCCTGCTTTTGGGCTGTTGCTTCATGGCAGCTGAAGGATTTGTGAAAGAGGACATGGCTGGTTGCTACCAAGGCAGCATCAGATTAGGGCTCCAGGCAGACACATGTTGTCATGCCCAGCTGTGTCCTGCAGCAGTTCAGCTGCTCCCCTTCCTCAGCTGCAAGTCTCCCTGCAGCCTGTGGTGCTGGTCACTGCACTGATTTGGAGAGGTATTGGACAGCCCTTTGAGACAATCAGCCGGCAGCTGCTATGTCTCTTCCTGCCCTGAGTCTCTCCCTGCCTCACTCTCCTCAGAAACATTCCCAGGAAGCCCTGGACACTGACAGGGATGAAGCAAGGTGAGAAGGACATGCACTGCCTGGGGTCTGTGTGGTGTGTTGACCCTGGCCGGTACTAAGCACCCATTGGTTCTTCACACTTGCTCTGCTGTTGCAGCAGGATCCATCAAGAACTGGAACAGAAAGAGAGCAAAATACCCGTGGCTCAAGGTGTGGACAGAAGAATAAGGGCAAAAAAGAAAAACCTCAACTGCCTCAAAGACAATCACCCACCTCCTCGAACCAATAGACCAATGCCCAGACATTCTCCAATGAGTGACTTCTTTGGAAATACTGACCATATTTTTATTGCTGAGTGTGATGTTATATGGCAGGGTGTAGTTCATTCCTGAATTCAGTTAAACCATTCAGATGTCATTTCCTGCTTGGTCCTCTTCCCCCGTCACAGCCCCTAATCTGCCCTCTCTGCCTTTCCTCTCCTCGCTCATTCATAGGAATCTGTGGCATTGTTGCCCTCCCAGGGTGTCCTACAGCCCAGGCTCCTCAAGCACTATCAGCAGTGGCCACGTTTCCCTTCCATGGTGTGTGGACTGAGACCAAATTAGAACATGGGGACAGATGCTCAGCAAAGCTGTGTTGGATGGTCAGGGGCTCTGGAACAGTCATGGATGCCCTCCAAACCCACAACTGATAGTATCCAAAGGGAACTCACACTGTGCCCCTTCTTTCCCTCTTTCCATATATGTTGAAGATTCTTCTGTTTCCACACTCACCCCTAACTTTCCTGGTACAACGCTCTCCTCACTGTTTCTACTACAGTGTCCACAGAAGAGGCAGTAAACAGGCGTGCAGTACTCAAACAGGGCCTATAGAAAAGACGGGGAGGGACTCTTTGTCAAGGAGTGTAGTGATAGGACAAGTGGTAACTGTGAAACTGGAAGAACCTGGATTTATATCAGATATTAGGAAGAAATTCTCTTCTGTGAGTGTTGTGAGACACTGGACCAGGCTGCCCAGAGAAGCTGTGGGTGCTCACTTCCTGAAAGTGTCTAAGACCAAGTTGGACGGAGCTTTGAGCAACCTGGTCCGGTGAAAGGTGTCCCTGCCCATGGAAGGTGCGCTGGATCTAGATGATCTTTAATATCCCATTCAATGCAAAACATTTTATGATTCTGTGATTCTTATGGTGGTTGGAGCTTGTCTGTCTTCCAGGGGGTGGGGACATAGTTGTTATCTTGCTGATCACATCAATTGTAATGCGAAGATGTTCACTCTACCATTTTACTCTCAAGAAATGCATCTTCTTTGCAGGTCTTTTGTCCTTGAACTTTTTATGGCCAATTCAATTTTCAGAAGAATTAGAATTATTCTTTCTCCCTCATCAAACTGTTCTTCTGATTTCCTCCTCCACATAATGGGGGCCAATCTTTTTCACTACCGAGGTAATCACTGTACGTGGTGTTTGGATTCCTATCCCAGCTGTGGTGTTCTCAGATGTGCTTTGGGTTTCTGTCTCAACTACTGTATTCTTAGATGTAGTTTGGGTGCCTGGGTCAGTCAGGGAGTTCACAGAGATGGTTTGGGTCCCTGTCTTAACCATAGGCCTCTGATAGTACTGAAGTGTGTGCTGGGGGAGAGCAGCAAAGCTCGTGAAGGGCCTGGAGAATAAATCTCATGTAGAACAGTTGAAGGAGCTGGGGCTCTTTAGTTTGAAATAGAGGAGGCTGAGGGGAGACCTCATCAGTCTTTACAATCACCTGACAGGATGTTGTAGAGAGGTTGATGCTGGTCTCTTCTCATGGGTAATTAGTGATAGAACAAGAAGGAATGGCTTCAAACTGCAACAGGGGAGGGTTAGACTGGACATTAGGAAAAAAATCTTTCCCTGCAATAGTAGTCAGCCATTGGAACTGGCTGTCCAGGGAGGTGGTTGAGTCACCATCCCTGGAGGTGTTTACAGGCCATTTAGATGTAGCGTTAGGGGAGATGGTTTACAGGTGACCTTTGAAGAGTCGGGTTCATGGTTGGACTCGATGATCCCAAGGGGCATTTCCATTCTGAATGATTCTGTGATTCTATGGTGACAGGCAGAGGACAAGCTCCATTACCATGCTAAAAGCTGTCACCCAGAGACTGACCACCTCGGGGCCTGTTTCACTGTTGCCTCACTCAAAACTTGTTGCTTCTCTATGTCAATGAGACATCATATTACACAACCCCCTCAACAGGCCAACATGTAAGAGTGAACAAAGACCTCAAGAGCCTTCACAACAAAACAACCCACATGAGTCCCACATGGGCAGAGGGAGGTGTATTAGAAAAGAATAGTAGAATCACTAAGGTTGGAAAGGACCTCTAAGATCATCTAGTCCAAATATCAACACAATATTAATATAATCACTAAACCATGTCCCAAAAGGGCCACGTCTACACATTCTTTGAACACCTCCAGGTATGGTGACTCCACCACTTCCCTGGACAGCCTGTTGCAATGCTTCACCACTCTTTTAGCAAAGAAATTTGTCCTAATATCCAATCTAAATGTCCTCTGCGCCAGCTTGAGCCAATTTCCTCTGATCTTACTGCTGGTTACTTGGGAGATCAACTCCCATCCCCCTACAACCTCCTTTCAGGTAGTTGTAGAGGGTGATAAGGACTTTCCTCAGCCTCCTTCTCTCCCAACTGAACAATCCCAGTTCCTTCAGCTGGTTCTCATAACCCTTGTTCTCCACACCCTTCACCTGCTCAGTTGCCCTTTTCTGGTCCCATTCCAGCACCTCAGTGTCTCTCTTATACTGCGATGCCAAAAACTGAACACAGTGCTCCAGCTGCAGCCTCACCATTGCTGAATACAGTGGGATATTAATTTCCCTAGTCCTACTGGCCACAATGTTCCTAATAG